GTTTGCGACCTACACGTATTAGCCCGGGGTACCGATAACCTAGTTCCTACACAGGCTCTACAGCGAGAGGAAACATATACATACGAAAAGCATCTGACACAACACAATGAGCAGAATCCTAAAACGCCTTATCCCTATGTGCAAGCCAACAAAATTATAAAAAAATTGTGGACACCTTGGAGATAAGTGGAGATAGATCGGCCACATCGGACCAAGACAAGGCAACCACCCTTTTAGCTTTCCTTAGGAGTACCGACAACCAGTTCAAAGGGATGTTGTGTGGCCCAACGCATCGTGTTAAGATACACCAACGATTAGCGAAATCATCATCAACGAGAGTGACGTAACCAAAGAACTTGCGTCACTAAATGGACGCAAGGCTGCAGAACCGGATGGTATACACCCTACTATAGGTTGACCACTAGCAGGTCTTCTGGCACATCCGGTAACCATCCTTTTCGAGCATTCTCTGAGGACGGGGTATTACCAGAGGACTGGCGAAAAGAAACGATTGTTGCTCTCTACAAGTCAGGGTCTAGGCATACAGTGAACAAAAACCGACCAGTTATCCTGACATCAGTCCTGTGCAAATGTTGGAAGCGATCAGCAGGGGACAAATATGACAGCACCTAACCACCCACAGCTTGTTCGCACCAGTGCAGCATGGATTTACCGAGAGAAAATCGTGCCTGACCAACCTACTAACATTTTTAGATGAGTTTACTAAAAAGCTGAATGAAAGTCAGCTGGTGGAAGTCTACTAACGGACTTTTTGAAAGCCATCGATTCAGTCAGTCATAAGCTCTTTGACAGCAAGATACAAAATGCAGGATTCCAAGGGGCAGTGAGAAATTTGGCCATACAGATTCCCTGCTACTGAACGTTCTGTGTGAAGTTTGGCGACTATCCTGGCGAACCTGCAAGATTAACAAGCGGGGGTGCCTCAAGGATCAGTTCAAGGACCACTACTATTTCTAATTTTTCGTCAACGACTTGACATGGGATCTCCAGAATTCCTGTTTCATGTTTGCGGACGATTTGTAAGTAACCGGAGCAAATCTAGGGTGCAATGCAGGAGCTTTTAGACAATGGATTATTCAGTGGGACATACTACTTAATCTCGAAAATTGCCAGCTCTTAACCGCAAGAGCGGATACTGCTCGGGACGGGCAGCTGACACTGCAGCAATTCGATGCAGTCAAAGACTTAGGATTTACTCTCCCGATGCATTTGGCTCAACTCCGAGGCACATGCCAACCAAGAAGCTGTGTCCACTTTCTTAACCCAATTCTTATTAGTATACGGATTCAGCTTCAAAGCTGGATTTGTGGAACACAAAAAAATCCGGTACATATTTATACACGTATTGTGACCCAATAAGCCTAACTCTGTGCGCCGTTCGTGTATGCACCCGATTCACCTTCCAGAATTTCGTCCTGTCATGTCAATCTGATACACTGATACACCCGAGTCCATTTTTTCTTCTGCATATATATATGTATATATTTATATACATTCGGGCGTTAAACCTCTGCATATTCGTTCACAGCATGCTGTTTCTCCCCTTCTCCCCTTATCAGGTGGGTGTTTTCCCAGACTGCCAACTTTCGCTTTTTTTGTTTCAGATCCGGTTGGCTTGGGCCTGCCGAAAGCTTGGGGTCTACACGCACAATGGCCAATCTGGTTCCGGCAATGGTTGTTGAGCACGGCTGTATCCGCCGTTTAGACTTCATGCGTTCGCATTCCAGACCAGGTTGAGGATCACACCCCCTGCCTCACCTACAAGGCGTTTTACGGTTGGGTGTCTAGCGTGTAGTCAGTCCCACATCAAAGCGGCCAACGCCTGAATAATATAAATAATATGAACCAGTCAATCCGTTAACGGTGAGACTCCGAAGCCCCTTACTCTTTGTTCAAGAAGTCAGTCCATCTGTTTCGATCCTTGAAACAGTTTATTTATGATCCATTTATCATCCTACTGTATTCCGTTGAACTTCCTTGGTTCGACCGCAGATCTTCCTTTGAAATTCTAAAGCTTTCACGTTCGCCACCCTCCTTCTATTCTCCGAACTGGTTTCCGCGCATTATCTCCCGAGCGGATATTTCCACCTCCAGATCTGTGTCTTCCTTAATTTTCTTCATTTGACAATCGTTTACAGTGATGTGATCTCCATAACAGATTACCCTCAGTACTGCATTATATGGCCTTGTCCGCTTTGTGTTTCTATTTCACCGCAATGCATAGTTACCATGTCTTTTGTACCCGTTTGAAAATTACGTCCTTACCCTCTCTGTACATTTAATCTTTGGTTGGACCGTCACTTTTTTACATTGCTGTACATTTGATCATGCAAATTAGCATGGCTCACGGGCTACGTGAAATATACCGTTATTATTATTATTGTCAAGAGTTTGAAGCCCGGAACACAATTTATNGAGCTCTTCAGGTTGTGTGCTGCCCTTACATGTAGAAACGCAGAGGTCTTTTTACCTACCTACAAGGCAATAGTTCGCCCCCACTTTGTGTGTTCGGGCATGAGCACTAAACTGTAGAAAGGATAAAGCATTTCTGATAGGGACCTTTAAAATAGTCAGAGGACTCTCAGGACTCCACGCAGCTGACTTGTTTTACGACTTCCCGTGCTCAAAACACGAGGGGTCATAGCGATAAGCTCCAACAGAACCATGCTAGGTTGTAGGTCCGGGTCAACTCCAAACACAGGGTCATACCTATGTGGAACAGGGTACCCGTGGGAGTCGTCAGCTGCACCAATGTGCACAACTTCAAGGTGGCACTGGATGTGTGTTGGCCGGTAATGATCCCTGAGGTAGTAATTTGGCTTTACTAAGAGTCAGATAATTTGCGGCCCCGAACTATGCTATGGGGCCTTTTAATAGTACTTGAAACTGGTATGTTTCGGAAAACTAAGGTCTCTCACCGATGAGGTGAGAAGACATCTCTTCCGTTTTCTTTTTTCAGCTCAACTCGGTAAACTTGATAAAAGAATTCAGAAAACGCAGTGTTGGGAGGCATGATCACCTGCGACAACACAGTAATCTGGACGCTCGACTGGCAAGAGCCATGATTCGTCTGGTGAAGACTGGACTGGACTGGACTGGAGTCAGTGCATAGAGTTCTGATGTTCGCGGCAGATAACTGAACCTGGGCCTTGGCCGCCATCGGCCTCGACTGAAGAGAACACGTCACCATTGGTTCGAACGCACCTGCATCGGAGGTATTGGTGGAATTCGGGTCAGGGGTTCTTGAGCGTAACGGCCTTCCGTGGTACGCGGAGTGCCGAATTTTCGTGCTCGGTTGACTGCTTTCAGTAGATTTGCCGCTGAATATTTAGCTAGGTCCTTTGTGGCAGCTTCAATCCGCAAACCGGCTTGCAGCCGTTCCGTAGCTAAAACTTCGCGCGACTCTAGCGACCTGGAGCCAAAAGCTTACTGGACCAGGCCCCTGATGACGGCTGCGTACTCTCCGACGGTCTCATTCTCCATCTACAGCCTTCGTCAGAATGTGTTTGCGTATACTAGAATAAGATGGCTTCTTTGAGAAGGTTTTGAGGTCCTTCCAGATATCCTCCACCGGCGTCTTGTCATCTATACCGTCTTCATGCAGAACATCTTACTAACTTTCACTGATTTTGTCGAAAACAAATACAGACTGCTCTCGTTGTGACAGAAAAGATAGACAGCGACACATCTTCCGGCAAAAAGGCCACAGGTTTATTCCTATTTCGAATACTGGTGGGGTTCAAACCTTGGTAGGCTGCCACTCGAAACAGGAAGATATGGAAGTCGCGTGCGAACGTGCGGTGAGAGTTCAACCGTCTCCGATTGATATGAACCAGAACTGGCTTTCTTTTCATTCGTTACGCAATACAGAGTCATTTCAAGAATTCAAGACTCATTTGTTTTAATCGTCTGCGTATGCGCTGTTTCTAAGGTGTTTTTTTAAATCAATACTCACGTGATGACAAAGGCTGAATAACCAATTATGAGCGAAACTATTAGATTTATCACACAAAAGCTGAATGCTGAGCCATTTAATAAGTCTTTCAACCTAATCAGCTTTGATTCTATTGAATCCATTCAGTTGTTGCAATTGGTGAATGACGTGATTAGTGAAATAGATTCAAAAGTAAATTTTCAGTACTTTTTAATAAGGGATTTTAGCACAAAATGGATATTAGAGAGGAGTCGGCAGATCAAACGGCTGTGAGAATATTTGAGGCTCTGAGAGTTTTTCGATACAAATGTCCAACTGATCCGAATGCAATGTACGTTCGTTTCCCGTTGCTGATAACGAATATGCTGTTGAAGGAGTACATTCCGCAAAGGCCTCGTTACAGGCGATAAGCTTGTGCTTTATCCTATTCTCGAGTGGCTACTTCAAAGAATTCCGGAACTCAAAAAGCGTGCTTATCTTGCAAAGTTTCTTGTCAAGATCCAAGTTCCTGACATGTTCATGCAAGACGACGAGATTTCTGCTTTATACCAACAAGTAAGCTGAGGGTTTTAAGTGTATCTGAATTTCAGTATGAAAGCCTAATGGATACTTTCAAAGAGGCGCACAAAAAGGTCGAATCTTTGAAAACAGGTGGTCTTTCTACTGCTGAAGTAAAAAGAGATATAGTGGCAATGCAAGATGAGAAAGACCAGCTTCATAAGAGAGTCGATCGGATGAAGAAAAAGGTGAGCTTATTTTAAAATTTAATGAAACAATTATGTATAAATGTATTTTTTCACTGTAAACAGTTTATTAGTATACTGTATCCTATATTATACTTTAACAGCTGTTAAATTAATAATAACCATTTAAATTTTTAGTCTTTAATAAAGTTTGGTTATAAAAAGCTCAGAAAATTGAAGGATGCATATAGATACGTTCAAGTCCAGTCCAGTCCAGTTCAGTTTGCACAGGATACAAGACAGCCACTATCAATGGAGCGTTTAGTTTTCCTTAGTTAGTAAGCCTACGTCGGTTTATGTATTTGATGGCCCATAGTATTGCACGTGTTCCATATTAGAGATTTTTCATGGTATCTACTCTTCTCAGTCGGCTTCATCGCTTAAACGGAAAGAGAAGGAAAAAATAACTCCTCTTTTTCAGGTGAAAGACCTCACTTTTGGAAGCGTTCTACTGGTAGGGGTCGTTGGCAAACGGACAAATTTATTACTGTTGCAAGACCTACATCTTAGCTTCTATTTTGGGAAATAAATTTAACCAGTGCTTATCGAGTTCCTTCTAAATGTGTGTACGCTCCTATGTTGTGCCAGCTCTAGTGGTTTCTTGTTCCATTGAGTGACTACTTTGTTACTGACGGAGTTAGAAGTCATTGCTAGTTTCGTGCTCATCTTCTTCTTGTTAAGTGCTTTCTCATGTTTCTTTGCAACCTTTTGAAGAGTGCCATGTGATCCATATCAGATAAACCATTTATAATTTTGGATGTCTCTATCAAGTCAAATGGAAGTCTTCTTTCCAAGGATGAGAGTCCCAGATTTTGCAGTCTCTGCCTATACGGCTTCCCTCGCTCTCTTTTGATCATCCTGTTGGATAATCGATGGAACTCCTTTGAGGCAAAGGACTTCCTCTTTGAAAAAGAGAGATCAGGCCTATGTGCAATACTCCAGCGGTGGTCGAAAAAATTTCGCGCGCGGAGGTATGAACACATCCGGTCTCCTGCAAGATAATGTTGACAGAAGTCGAAGAACGTCTGTACGGGCGTCATTCGCCGCTGCTACACACTGTTAAAACAATTTGCGACCCGCTGTTAATAAGATTTTATAACGTTGTTCCAGATGAAAACCGTTGTGAGCTATTCCCACAATCAGTTGTTCATTTCCAGTGGTAAAGACAGGATTCTTCCCCACGTTCAGTGGCAAATCGCATGTACCAGAGCTTATTAACTTCTACTTGTATTTTTAAAGATATATAAAATGTTAAGTGATTCGGTCACCTATTTAAGAGCAAATCAGTTGTTAAACCTTTGAATTCATTGAAAAAAACCAAGAATCAAAATGTAATGAATATCGTTTTATAGCTTTTTAAGAAGGATCTTTACGTATGGGCCTATTTGTTTTATTACGAAATTGAATTTTTCTTCAGTTTGTTCAATCGGTTACTTTACACTTTTGTGGGTGGTTTTTTGTGTTCCTTTGTGGTTGTACATTCCACCGATCAAAGGTTCAGTGAAAGGAGGAAATAAAACAGTAATCAATGTGCCAAGGAAAAGGTAAAGAATGCTGTTAAACTAAAATTGGAAAGAATTTGATTATGTGCGGGAGTACTGTTGTTTACGATGCTTATTGTAAGACTTCAATCTGTTAAACAACAACTGAAATTTAATTAACAAATAACCTTTAAAGAAAACCTGTCCTAACAGTCAGATTATATGCGACCTGGAGGATGCCATATGCTTCTGCCAGTTGAATGGGTGATTCAGATGTGAAAAGATCAAAATCAAATGGGCAGCAAAAAGACAGCAACCAAAACCGGCGCACAATAGTGCATGGTTGCTGGTTGTACAGACTAAATTTGAAACTGAAGATCAGTGCTATCAGTATGGTGTCGTAGCTCAGCTGGTAGAGAGTGCCCTGTAAAAATGCGTAGGCGGCAATCATGCATGGATTGAAGTCCCATTGAAGCTACTAAACTTTTCGCAATTTTGACAAAAATATTCTACCAATGTTAACTTGTAATGAGGTTTTAGTCCGCGATATCCATTCCAGCTTAAAGATATTCCGTTACACCACCCCTCCATTGTTTTACTTAGGTTGCAGAGCAAAAACATCCTTGCGCCCTCAGACATCCGTTTGGGCTTTGATTTCGTCAATAAGTCTCAATCATGAAATTTTTAATGAACAATTTGGGTACAAAATGCTTTATGACTTTCCCCGAAGAGTTTTACCTTTATAGTTTAGATCAACTTAAGGTTCGTGCTTAGCTTCCTACGCCTTTTGCCGTCTACCGTGAATCGCGGTAAGGTTATTTTCTCCGTTAATTTCTGTTTGATGCCATTATGGCGGATATAATGCGGAACTTTTGTTCACTTGGATAAACGGTTCAGATTTTGATTTAGAATATGCCACGGAAGTCGCTTTGGTGAGTGATAGTAAGCAAACAGTGCAGTGTTTTAGTTTTTTCCGAAATAAAAATATCTCAATATGATATTTGTTAGCGGAAGTGTATGCCTACACCCACTTCTTATGATGATCAGTTATGGATGGTCAAAAGCTACAATTTTCCAGGAGTTTGAGAACCGCTAGCGAAATCTAGATTAGTATTCAAGAACCAGTAACATATGTAGCCACCTCCCGAAATCCCAATTTCTCTAATGAAATTGGTAAACATCACTACGTTTTGTCATGTTTTCATTCACAAAAGAGGAAAGAACGATTCAGCTGAAACTTGAGATTGTTTTTCTTGGTGGAAACCAAATGAATGATGATTTCTGTTCCCTAAAGATGCTTAAATTTATAACTCAGAACAAAAATCATTGGTGGAAACCTCTTAAAACGGGGTTGGATAGAGACAAAATGCAAAAAATAAGTAGAAAAAATAATTGTGCGTTTTTAAAACTATTAACCATGCACTTTCGTGCGCCGAAGTTTAAACATATTTACTCATTATTGAAACAGAACAAACATGAACCTTTGGTGTTCAACCATCGCTTTCGTGCTGTATTATGCCAGCTCGAAGAGAGGTCACCGGACAAGTAATTCCGAGATTATGTGCGGAGCTTCAAACGGTCGTCCGCTGGTGCAACTTCCATAGATTGTTGTTGGTTGGGACATGTGTTACCAGTGTCATCTGATAGGTTTCTCGGATGTGCAATGTCTTCTGAGGCACGCAGTGAGAGGAAAGGTCACGATTGGTAAAACCAAAACTTGTCAAAAGTATATGGAACCCTGAACAGCTAACCTGGTCAAACATGTTGTATTAGGCGTCCTAGATGGAGAAAGCAGGATTAGTATGTCCGATTATCAGAGACATCGAGTAATATAAACGAATGTATTAAACGGTAGCCCTTTCTCGCAACTTAAGTCTATCCGAATGCTGTATCTTCACAGTGAAAATGCTTCTATCATTCTTATTTCCGACTCCTTTAATTAAATGAATATCTCAAAGGGAGTATTAGAAAACTCTGCTACAACGATTGTTATTTACATGAAGTAATTGATGCTATGCGAAAGAAATATCTCTACAGCAGACATCCTGCATAACACTACTGGCCTTTTTCAAATTCATTCGGGTAAATCATTAGTTAAACTTTTATGGACATAATTCTCAGGGTAAAACTACTCTAAGGTATTTTTATGTCAAAGATTCAGACAAATGTAGACCAATAAAGTGCCTTTTCAAAGTCAATTGAGTCAATTATCTTAATCTACTTCATATTTGTTGATCAATTTGTTTAGGGAGAAAGAACTACCAAAATATTAGCCAAAAAGTCCTGAATGAGCAATTTAGCAAACTGAGCCGAACTATGCACAAATTCATATCGATATTTAGTTGAAAAAGCTGTCTCATATTTACGTATTCACCTCGAACTTCTCTCATTGTTGATAACCATATAGACTGCAAGTCAGACAGAATGGAAGGAAAGCAGTAGATTTTATAGTCATTGGCATTGATTGGAACGGATACAAAGAAGTTATTCATTAATACAAAGCTGTGGAAAGAGGATATCAGAATATTTTGCTGAAAAAGACCGGCAGTGATCATTGTTAACAAAAGAAACCAGAAGTATGAAGAATTAATGAAATCTTAAGAAGTGAAATCCACACCTAAAAATAAATAAATAAACACCGTGGCTGTGAACTCTAAACCTTTACTTAATAGATTATATACATATATGAAACAGAAGGTCGCATGCATTCATCGCATCAAAATTGAAAGTAGACGTGCCGCGAGATGTTATTATTTCATTTAATTTTCGTTCCTTTCTAATTCAAGTAACCCCTATGTACACGTCTGATCACTCGGGCTTACCAGCTCAATGTGCTATAATTGTGTCACTTCGGCGATTGAGGGGATCAAAGGAAATGTTAGCATCATGCAATGTTTTCTTTCGGTCTTCATATTGCACTCATTTACGCCTCAAGTAAATATCCTATCTAAAAGCTGATAAAATCAGTATTCTCCTTTACACAGGTTTTCTGTGGAAGGGGGCTTCCCAAACAACCTGCAACACAGGGAAAATACAAAACAACCATGAATCGAAAGGCCCTCTGAGACATCCACACAACTCAAACTCAATCCAAAATGACGACGACATGCTTAATGTGCCTAAAGGTACACTACGAACACTATCTCGTATTTGTATATATCTGAAAAATTTTCACTGTATTCGGTTCAAAGTTCAGTAGGTACAATCATACACATTGCAAATCCGTGGACGAATTGTGGAGGTTGATGCCGGTTGACTATCTTTGTGGTTAACCACTGGAGGTTGGAGTAAAGAGGAGGGAATAAACTGTTCGGAATAGTGGGCGGTTTCAGTTCAGGTGTTACGGCCACGGTTCCATCTACTCGCCTATCTTCTATGCTTCTGTTTTTCCCCAGGCAACCTTTGTTTGGCCTCAGCCATATTCCTAGAAATCGACTGTAATAATGCGTATCCCATACATCGAAGGAAGTAAATCAATGATTATTATTATTATGTAGGTAAACAAGGAGAGTGAATTCACAAAAGGTATTGTATACG